TTCACTTTTTCTCTATCTATTACTCTCTCACTCCGTCCCCACTATGAATTCTGTTGCCATGACGCCATCACAGCTGATCACAGAGACTCGTTCGTGATGAAGATGATTAATTAATCAATTCATTGATGGATGTAGCCGTTACTACATGGTAGGAAATCATAATGAAGAAAAGAGAAATTAAACTTTCTATGTTTTTTACCACTTTTGAAAAATACATTGTCCCATGAATTGTTACTTTACTTCTTCAAAAATGAACCAACAATTTGTACATCGATGGTGAAACTCATGTCTTATTTGCGTTTTTCTCAATGAGTCAAGAAGGCACCAAAGTCTCGTACCTTTTTTTAAAGACAAAACACATAAAAGCAGTTCCCGAAATGAAAGAGTTCTTGAACAGTGAAGCTTCAGGTGTACTTAGGTGAACCTCATAACGATGAGCAGCCACAGTCCGTAGCGTATTTCTGACAGGCACCGCTCAAATATGCCAAGTAACATGAACACTTCCCGTGGAAGTATTTATAGAAGAGAGACAAATCCCCAACCTTTCTTTGATGTTCCAGACTATCAAGGTTGCAAGTGGTGTTCGCGTCTCTAATCAGGCACATGGTTCTTTTCTGGATGGAATCCAGCAGCTTCAGGTTATGAGAACAATACTCCAAAGAAAGTTTGATCTGAGCTTTATAAAGCATCAAAAATTGCTGAGGTGTGCACCGTTTTCTGGTTTGGAACAGTGTTTCAAACTTTTGAGAAGCAGCTATTCCGTTTCTCTGTTGAATTGGCCACTTCAAAAACAAATTAACTTTCTGACACTCTGGAGGAATCTCATGGTCTTTGAACAAAGCTTATAGTAGATATTTACATGACTCCACAAATCCAGCGTTGATGTTGGTTTCAGTAACATCAGTTGTTAGAAATACTCCTACAAGATGCCGTATAAACGTGGTATAAATAGCAATTTCTAAAGTTCCTGAATACAACTAATGAGACGGAATGACAATTTCAATTTGGTAAGATGAAACCATCATCGATGTCATTATTCATACAATACAACGGAATAACCGTCTACTACCATATTTCAACTTTCCAAAAACGTATCGCAAAATAATTTCTAAGTAATGATATACAGACGTATGAGCATACTTCAATCGATTGTAGCATAATCAATGAGTATATGGACAGGTTGTTCGAGATGAATACGATCTTTATACGGCAGAGTGGCGCCCACAAGGTGAGATAGTACTATCTTACATGGGCGGAGATGTGGGAGACTGCAAAACCGTAGATTCTCGTAGATTGTGATGAAACTAATGGTAAGTTATAAAGCATGTGACAGATTTGGCTACCGATTGAGATTTCTATGGATTTCGGTTCTGAAAATCTGATTTTCTTTGAATCGATTCATTATGCAAAGTATAAGACAAAAGTATTGTCCCTAACTTGAATTCAGAGTTTTGAAAGCCTCAAGTATTTTGAAGGTAGTCTTGAACCAACTTGATCTTGCTCGTCTCTTCAGTTTCAGCTCACTGTAGAGACGTTTCACTCTGATACATGAATTTGAATTTGATTCAGAAAAGTAATATTTCTCCTGTCGAAACCACATCTCTCTTTTGTCTAGATCATCCAATTCAGGCCAAAGAAGTTGATAATCATCGACCCATTGTGCTCACCACTGACAGTGATGGTCTGGCCAATGTCGTTTTCAAATAAATATGGAAATAACATTTTTGTATAACTTGTGTGAATATTACCAAATAATTATTTCTGACTTCTCCATATCCATAATTTATTTTTTCTTCTTTCTTAAATAGTACTGTTCTAGTTATTACTCATCAATAATTTTTGTCGAACTCTTGGTTATACCTTACATGACTTGGATAAAATTTCATAGCATTTGAAAAGCTCCTTTTTTTGGTGAGATATGAAATGCTCAAAGACGATTGTTTGTGTTAACTTCTGTTTCCAGTAAAAGTATCAGTTGTTACAAATAGCAGAAAAGTCAGTTTCGTGCCAACTCGACGAAATGTGGTGTCGAATATATAAAATGAAGTCGCATAATGATAGTTACACCATTGATATATTAATCATTTTTAATTTATTGGATTTGTCTCCGCCCGAAATAGTTAGATGCGCGCAAAGACAACTGAGGTTATGACATTTGTGCGCGCATGAATTATAGTTATCTTTTAAAAGAAACAAAGTCAGCAATATCACAGTGTTATCGAGCGAGAAGATCGAATCTTTCACAAAGAAACCATAATTCAATTAGTTTAGGGAACATTGCAAAACAATCCACTGCAAATGAAGAAAAATAGAACAGTAGATCTAGTGTTTTGACTGTCGAGCTACTTTTCTACTATTTGAGTGCTAGTGATGACTCAGTGACTCGGTTTATTATAATATTCATCAAATGATTGTAGTGCAAAATAACTCTGTATTTTGGCACGACAGGAGTAAAGGTAATCACATTGCCGACTCTTTAGCCAAGGACAATTGCGGAAATAGCAAAGTGTTACACTCATGCTCAATCCCTGAAGAGATCGGATGGAATCAAAGATTGCAATCTTGCCAGGATCACCCTGGGCGTCCCTGGGAAGCTGGCGCCGAAGAAATATCTGGCGATGACCAGGAAAAATCTACGCCTAACATTAGGACTTCTGATTGGCCACTGTCAACTAAGGAAACACCTCCATAATATGAGTCGTGTCGAGACTTGACCTACCCCTGCCGATATAAAGGAGATGTCTCCCAGTGACCTGCCCACCTTTCTGGAAGGGAGAGGATGGACGATGACCTAGGAGGACAACTCCTCGGGAGGTCACATGTGGCATAAGTGCTGTGGGCCCACACTCACTCTCCCTACTCTACAGATACAGAACTTTTTTTTTACCGTTTTTGTACCAATTTACATCTTTTCTGGTAAACATGAAAATGAGCTGACAAGACAGAGCGTGTTAGTATGGCCTGACTTCGTGGCATACGTAAAAAAGTAAATATAACTCAGCTGACAACCCAACACAACATTTATTAATTCTGATGTTACAAAGTTTCCGAATCAGCTGGTATCTTCAAAAAATTAAAGGAAGAGCAGTATTTTCTAATTAAAAAAACAATTTTGAATTTTGAAGGTAACGAATGACAATATCATTACTCATGTTATTTTGGTATAATTCAAAGCAAAAATCAATGTCAAAGAGCTTTTTTTCATGTGCATCTATTGATAAATATTTTGATTGTGTCAGTATACGAAATGAAAATTAACTTTTCAACCTCAGCACTCAGTTTACACTTTAAGCAATAAATAAAGCTAGAACAGCCCCTGTTGAGAAAAAACCGTGCGCCGATGTCACCTCGTCTTCGTGTAACCGTTCACATGTCATATACGACGCCTTTGGCTAGACGAACGGCAAATTTTCACGAGAAAACATACATATTTGCATTCCGCCTGAAAAATGCCAGTAATACCCGACCTGTTGCATAAAAATTAACCGACACGTCTTTGGAAAATAACAGCATACGGCTGTTCGCCTTATTCGCCTCCTTATTTGTAAATCTTGTTTATTTTCGAAACTTTCTATTTGTTCTTATCTTACCACGCAGATTCGTCTTAATGCATCCGAGTGGACGCCCCCGCGTCTTTTATACCATTCATGAGGCGCTTTTTAATTTTCATTGATAGGGAAAATTATGTTTCTGATGGTTGTGTCGTTACGTGAGCAGAGGCGGGGACATTAGGACTCTCACTAGGCCTGATAAAGTCTTCGTCCCACACCTGAATCGGAATGGTCATTAATTATCCCACTACTGATGATAAAAAAATGTTCAGCAGTTTGATGTAGGTTTACGCTAAGATTGTAACAGAGTTCGTTCCGAGTTGTGCAATAACATTTCAAAACATTTGTAACTCCCAGCAGTGGCTATTCATAAGGTGACGTTGAACTAAGGAAGACCTGAATTTCAAATTTAAATCTTCAGGTACTGGATGCAAATTTAATTTGTTTGATACCATTTTTTTTTGTGTTGGCGTATGGGATATATGTATCTGTATCTGTAGAGTGGGGAGGGTGAGTGTAGATCCACAGCACTTAGGCCATATGTGACCCATTGTACATCCTCCCGAGGAGTTGTCCTCCTAGGTCATCGTCCATCCTGTCCTTTTCAGGAACTTGGACAGGTCACTAGTCACTAGGAGACATCTCCTTTTTATTGGCAAGTGTAGGCCAAGACTCGCCGAACACACACTCTCTTTGGCAACCTTGAGGTGTCTCACGGTGGCCTCCGCGAAGGTTTTGGAAGGTGCAGCGACATTACTGTCGTTGTATATGGCATATGTGTATTTCCAGGTAAATTTTTCCGGTATTCTTCTTGTTCTTTTGACCCATTTTTGATCTGGTCTCGTACCCCATCTCCCGCCCACTTGCTTCAGAGCTCTTATACGCTAGTGATGATCGGCACACTACCAATTTTTTCATTAACAGGACAAATATTTCATAAATGAGTATGTTTGCAAGTCACAACACGTCAAGCTTATTTAAAAAAAATATTTTTTACTTTTTAGTTCGATGTACTTCAAAAGCGTGTTTCTTTAGTTTTTTCAAACTAATCATGAATGTCAAATTGAATGTCTCATGAAGAAAACTTGGAACTATTTTTTGAATTCACAAATACCCAATATCCCCAGAGTCGTAAATGACATATGACTTTTGGGATCTTGGACAATTAACTATATATTATATCAATTTTTGCCTAAGTATTAGACTAGCTGTTCAGCATCTTCCTTCACTTACTCTCTCCGTGATGTAAAGCAGACAGGTAGCTTTTCACCAACATTATTTCCAAAGTAAGCTAATTGTAACTCAATATTTTGATTCCCGTGTATTTTGATTGGCTATCAATGAATTCACCAATAAACTGCCATCGTTACAAAGTCGAATCAGTCAAATTTGAAAAATGTACGTGATAACGGCAAATGAACAATAAATTAATTTCAAATTTTTTTTCAGATCCCGATATCATAGACATCGTTCCTCAAAACGCAGCGGACGACGATGAAATAAGTAATAAACGTAAGCATATATTTCCAACATGACGAGAGAACGTATACCTTTTCCTCTATAATTGTTATTCCGTTTCCCATTGCCTCTTTCCCTGTCTACCATCACTAACTTTTTCCCAGTAACTTTCTCTGTCGCCTTTCCTTCACTTCTGCCTTCTTTTGTTCTCGCTTACTCTTAAGATAAGTTGCATCGCGGTAATTCAAGACCTAGCATAGCAAAACTTTAGTTAAACCCGAATTTCAGCAGATCGATACAACTTAGGCTAAGAGTTCATGTTCGTAGTGGTTTGATAGTATCTTCTTCAGCTTCTTACCAGTGTATTATTTTTTTTACTAATAACAACTTTTTTGTTTGCCCAATTGGCATATCTAACGAATCATTCCTTTGCAGATTTTGCGGCGCTTTTGACAGGAAGATCCTCGTTGGACCTTCACAATCACTCATGGTTCGATGATTTCAACAAAAACAACGTGGTAGCAACCGGTAGGTTCACTTTCCATAGAAAGAACCTCCACTTTTCCTTCTACATATCGGAAAAAGCAGCACGACCACGTTCTCTTCACTTCATAGACCACCAGGGTAACATCCTGGAAGAGTTCATACTTTCCCACGCAGGCGGACTGGTCAACAGCTTGTACCAGAACGCCACCAGAAAGGTATGCGGAATATGGAGAAGACTACCGAAAGGTTACCGTCATCTGTTGAAAGAAGAGAAGATGTACGTGGTCCTAATTTGGGGAAATAAGGACACCGAATTCACGTTGAGCGGTAGGGTGATGCGCTACCTCGCTCTAGGAAGCGAACAGTTCAGTTCCTTGCTAGAACCTGCACCTGGCACGGACTCCATGATGATGGCAGGCGCAGGAGGAACCGCGATAGTATCTACTTCCTCATCGTTGTCGCCTGTGTTACACTTAGCCATAATCTTTAACGGACTCTTCACAAACATTGACGACGTGGAAGTGCCACTCAACGTGATGCTTGTATTGGAGGAGAAGAAGCAAGTAATTCTTCAAGAAGTGAGTTCTAACCCGTACTTTCCTTAGCCCTTTTGCTAAACCCCGTTTTGTTCTAGAACATCATTGTTCACCAACCAGCCACAGACCTGAACCTCATCGAACTGAGTTCTACGGTATCTCAAGCAGATCTTCGCTCGCTGTCAAGGGGTCGTTTGGTGGTTACGGTGTCTTCAGTATCGAAACCTGAAGCCCTACGTCTAAGCGGGAATGTAATAACCAAGATTACGTGCGAAATTTTCCAAACGACTTTGTCTTCGGAGAAGCACTCGCAAGATGGCGACTCTGGTTTAGCCTGGATGTATTTAAACAACCAGGGTTCTTTGATTTACAACGTCCAAGTCGACAACTTAGATTCTGATACATACCATTTGATGACACTGACGGACCCGTCGGGAAAGAAGAAGGCAGAAGTTTATGCCCCTTTCCATAAGGGATGGGCCAATGGTAAGTTGTGATTCAACAAATTTGCATAGATTTTCCAACTGATATAATAACGAAAATAAGTCTGAATATGGTAATTCAACGGGCAGTGTTCATCAGAAGTCATCAATCTATAGTCTTTTTCATAAGTCTCTCTCCCGATCTTTCTGAAGTATGTAAAAATCTTGATTTTTCAATACACCAAAGGTAATTAATTCTCATTTGAGAGCTACTCTCACCCTCAATAACTATTATCCCGATATTTTTCTTTCTTGGAGAAAATTTATTTTGAACTTGAATAGTTTACTTTCATTAAATGTACGGAATGGCATCAAACAATTTTTCCTCACAACGGATTTGTAGGTTGTATGGTTTGAAACAATTTTGTTTTAACAACACGATCTAGAAAATATTTTTTTGTGAATATATATGAGAATTCTATATCTTGGAGGTGAACATTTTCAAATGCTATGTCAGAGGTTCGGAATTCATTAAGTTACCTCAAAAAGTTTCTTTTTGGACTGTCTCTAGTTGAACTGTTTTGGCAATTCGTAGTTTTTCTTTATTTATCAGTTTTCAAGAAAACTGAGGTTATTAATCATTTATACAAACTCCATTTCAGTTGAACTAAACTCCCAACCCTCTGAATTATACAACTCATCTGGGTTGTTACCCAAAAACTTCTGGTGAGAAAAGAGCTATCTAATGCTACTCCGAAAATAAAAAATTTATTCAAACTACCAAATCATTCCGAAATCAGATATCTCGAAAAAAATATGAGACACTAGAGCAATTCAGACGTTGGTTTTTCATTCGAATAACCTTCAAAGCAATGTATTCTGGTTTCTGGTAATATATTTGTTGTTATCGTTCTGAATGATGTTCTTTAGAAGTATTTATAATGGGCAGCTATTTGAAAACAACATACTCGTACTGTGTGATTTATTTTCAATATAACTCTATAATTATAAGAGTTCAACTGATTTGAATAAAATTCTAATGAGGTCAAAGTTCAAGGTTACTCCTTTCCAATTCTTAATTTGTTAAATTCAAAAAATCAAATCAAACCATAGTACAAATTCTCAAATTGATCCTTAGGCACAGAAGAAAAAATGGCCCACAAAATCATAGATCCTCTTTACAACGGCAAGTTAGATATGAGTATCGTAATCGCAAACGACACCCTTCATGGCTACCTCTCCCCCAAGCTAGTGGCTGATGCGAGGGATGCTCCAGCTCCGGTCCTCCTCAAACGAGAGAACTACACCTTACCCTCCTCAGTGGTGGGAATAGTTTGGATTTCCGTCGACAATGACTGCCACTTTCACTACGATGTCTCCATATCGGGCCTTGGACACGACAGAAAACTAGAGCTCTACATGGAGATGTATCCCATAATAGCACCTGGAGCACCGTACATTCAAAAGCACTTGGAAGACTTCCAGGGCAACCAAGTGGAAGGAAGCCCCGTCGAGGCACTCAGCAAGGAAGAGTTAGATAGATTGGACGGTGGAGTAACATTCATCAAGGTCAAGGATATCGTTTCGCAGGTTATTTTGCTCTCGGCGACATTACCTAAGGTGAGTTTTTATTCGTACTGTACACCATCAGTGTATTACCACACTTAGCAGCCACTTGCTCAGTGTCAACTGCTTCCAACCAAGATTGATATCGCAAAAAGTTCTACTAAAAAGTTAAAAATAAACTACAAAAATAATTCTTGAGAAACGCCACTACATATTTTAATGGAAACAAAGAGAAATAACGTACCCATAAAACAAAACCACCATATCCAAAAATTCTTAACGACTCCACTATTTCCATAACTGTTCAACTCCTCTGGAAAAATATCATGGTCAACGCAGTCAAAATGGAAAAACTTTATTGATCTAGACTATTTAGACTTACTATTTAGTTGATTACTACTAACATTTATTCACCTGTTAAGCTAGGATTGATATAGAATCGTTTCTATATTGTTGCTAAGAGTGGGTCTTTTGTTGGGATTGGTATTGAGTCCTTTGCTCGGAAACCAAGTTGGACTCACGCTTGCTGAGACTATGTCTAAGTATAACCTAACAACTACCCTTACCTAGCTATAGGCACGCTTTCTCATATATCCTATATCTCCAAATATATCGCAAAAAATGACGAAAAATTCTTGTTGATGTATATTTTACCTGCCCGAAATCGCATATTCAACCAAAATCAAATTTCAGATGCAGTTGCCCCTCACCTGCAGATCACCCTTCACCGACAACAACGTACCGACTTTACTGGACAATCCCTTGACGCTACCGACAGAGGAGTGTTTCTTCGAAGGTAAATTCTATAAGAAAGACACCTCTTGGGAATCGACGAAAAACCCTTGCCAGACGTGCTTCTGTGAAGACGGCACTTCCAAGTGCGACTTCATGCCCTGCCCAAAAATCGACTGTCCTCAAAACAACATAACCATGACGAGTGGGGAGTGTTGTCCGGTCTGCAGCAACCAACATGCAACAAAATCCGGCAGCAACAAATGCACTTTCAATGGTAGAATATATTCGGCAGGCAGCAAGTTTTATCCCTTCCTCATACCCACCGGCTTCGATACGTGCACCGAGTGCTTTTGCAATCCCAAAAGTTTGGAAATCGAATGCAAGAGGTTGGACGACAATGAAAAGAATTGTTGCAGGAATTGCAAAAACATAAACTCTTCTGCTTCGACGTCCAATGACGACGGCATCACTTTCATTCAGAATAAGTACGGCTCGAAACACAAAGAGGACAATGGTAAGCCGCCGGCTTTGATAATGAAGGAGGGAGGCTGCAGAAATCAAAACGACGAAAGGAAACCTTACCCCAACGGAAGCAAGTTCCATCCCTTCTTAGCATCGCTCGGGGAATATAAATGTGTCACCTGTACATGTCATGTAAGTAGTTTTCATCAACTGAAACCAGTCACGATACGATAAGTTTGCAATGATGTCATCAAACCACCAATAACGATATCCGAGTTGTTTCCATGAAAAGTTTCCATGAAAAGTATAATATTGGTGCGCATAATGTTAGGGTAAAATAAATTCTTGATAATATAATTTGTTGACATCTCTGATAGCTGAGAAATACAGGAGAATGCCGCGTCCTGTGTCATGTCCCACAATCGCACAGAGTTACCATCATGAACAGCATGGACGTTATTAACTGTCTTTCAAAAAAAAACCTGAGGCACTTATGTATTTGGTCAAACTTTTCCACCATATATGGGCTTCAATGCAAACTTATCGTGAAAATAATATAATTCATGGCGAATTCAAATTGAAATGAAGGCTTCATCAACATCGTTCTGTTTGAAAAGTAATAATGCTGGTGAGGCTAATATCCTACTGTCAAAAACATCTAAGCAATATCCCATTACATAAAATCAATGTTTCTGAATATATTTTATGTATTTGATTGTCATATAAGTATAATAAGATTCTGCGCACGTATAAAATGTGATGTTCACTACAGTGAACATTTTGAAACCTTCTAAAACCACTGTTAGTCATTCATTTGGTGTTCATTATGTGTAGATTGTAGATTCATGTAGATTATCCAAAATTGGTTGTTGGGTCCAAAAACATACTTTCCACAATCTGATGCAAATAATTGTTTGTTTACTGCACTGTATCTTGGCATGATAAGTCCAAAAATAATATTGCAGTCAGCACCTTCGTTACCTTCCAAGCCAGTTTGGCCACAGTACTTAGGCCACTTGTGACCTCTTGTACATCCTCCCGAAGAGTTGTCCTCCTAGGTCATCGTCCATTCTGTCCTTTCCAGAAAAGTGGATAGGTCACTAGGAGACATCTCCTTTATATTGGCAGGTGTAGGCCAAGACTTGCCGAACACACACTCTCTTTGGCAACCTTGAGTTGTCTCACGTTGGCCTCCGCGAAGGTTTTGGAAGGTGCAGCGACATTACTGTCGTTGCGCGGCTTCTTCAACCTTCTTGGGGTTCCCTCCGTGAAGGTGCACAAGTGAGGGTGCTTTTCTGCAGGGGCAGCCATCGATTAGAGTTACTCACTTCATTCCTCAATTAATTCTAATACACTGACCCGTTACTTGGTGAGAATTTGTAACACTCATGATAATAATTACAAATCTTCACAATATTTCCGATATGCGTTTTACTTCAAGATTAGTTTCTTCAGTTGGACCAGTCCTACAACAGTTGGCCAGCAGTTTCTTACTGACCAGTTGGGCCAGTAGTTTCCTACAATAGTACAACAATAACTACTGTTGTAGCGAAATGCGTATTGGAAATAAAGTATATATTGTGAACATTTGTAGTTAGTTATCATCATGAATAACATAATTCCTTCTTCTTCAAATATCTAACCGAAGATTAAGTTTCTGACAGATATATTCCAATGACTCATATTTAACGTCTATTCCAGAATGGTAGCCCAACATGCGTAAGGCAGAGGTGTGAATGGAAGACTTGCAAGAAGTTATTCGACTTCCGCAGAGAACGGCGAGCCAAGAAGATGCCGATGGACCTCTCAGATTATTGCTGTACTGTCAAGGAATGTAAGAGAATGAGGCACCGAAAGAAGGTGGAAGAGAGGACCTCGCATACGCAGTGAAAGACAACTCACGCAATTCTGGAACTTTCAAACAGGCTTTCAAAGTCCTAGTTACCCCCTTAACCAAAGAAGACTGAGGCAGTTATGAGAAGAGAAGAGAGCTGTCATATTTATTTTGTATTTTAAGTATCGCTCAGGGTGGGTGTGGAAAACTAGTCACAATTCGAAACGTTTCATTCCTAGCGGGTTTGACGTATTTACTTGGCTCGGGTAATTGTGATGCATTTTTCGCCACTTCACCCTGTATGCTGTATATACGTTAGGAACGAGCGGAGTCAAATCGATGGTGGCTAATTGAGATTTTATTTATTTATATTTTTCTAGTTATTTCTGAGGGAAGTTTCATTTGACTGCGCTCAAAAAACTATTCACTATTTATTCAACAAAATTATTATAAATTATTCCATAAATGTATAAAACAGAGGGTTTCTACGAGATAGAATTCTCAATACTCACTAGAGACGAAGGCTGATAGATCGTTTTGGGAAAAAATGAAAAACATACTCTGTTGTATAATATTTATACCTTTAATTTATTATCGTTATGGTGAATTTTATTTTGAAATTCGTTATGACGAACTTTTTTTTGTTTTTTCCCTGGTTGAGAGAAATAGAGCTAAATCATTTTGACGGTGGCCAAAACGTGATAGATTTTTCCAGTGAGATTAGTGATGGTACGAGTGACTTCTCAATGAAAAAACGAAATGTCTGTTCAATAAACTCGTATTTTCTTCAGGTTGTATACTCAAGCAATGAAAATATTCAAGTTCATATCTGAATTTCAAAGTAAGTTGTTCCATTTCATGTTTCAATAATGGAGATCTCATAAATAGTTGTACGTAAACCAAAATTATCCATTCGATGTATGTAAAACGATTTTACTTCCTCCTGGTACTTTCGAACTTGTCAAAAACCGAATGTTCCATGTTCGAAGCTTTTTGAATCCTTCATCACTTTGTATTACACAACATTCTTCTAAAAAATTCAATCTATACTTTCAAATTCCCCAAATACGATTTTGTATGAGAAGTGAGAATAAAGTTTATACTCTCTAAGTTAGTCTGAAACATATGAGCATGATCTACACATCTTTCTAAAGAGTTCATTGCTTTCTTCCTTTCTTAGAAAGTTTCTCACATTTTTTGTGTAGGAAGCAAAAAGCTTTTTTTCATTAAACATGTTATTATATGAATGGATTATGCAAAAAGTATTTACCACAAAAATAGTTTCTTCATTATAAAAACTGTTCTATCAAAATTGCTGTAAGAAGTATCTGTGTTCTTCTAACTGTTGAATACAAAAGTATTCTTTACAAATCAGAATCGGAAGTTTTCAACTTGCTAACAATGTTGAGTGTTAAATTCTACAGTTAGGTGTCATGTTTTATCGGTATTTACAAAATAGTCTTTATAATCTAGATTCAGCTCTCGTAGTGAGTCGTTTTCAGAAAATGTGTTTATTTCAATCAATATTCAAAACATAAAAAATTAAAACTTAGGACACGAAGTTCATTTTCTCTGTTTGAATGTTAGATTGCCTCAAAAATAATTTTGAAAAATATGGACGATAATATATACATACATAGGAGTAAACAAAAAAATGTTCAGTTTGTTAGACATACGTTCAGCAGTAGCAGGTATTACAATTTCTCATTGATATTTCATTAGGCATTGACTTTGTCCTATTCAGCTCTCATAACATACAATGTTCATATGAGCATGTATCAAATTATTTATTCAATAACATCTGTGTCAAAAATTTCCCAGATTGTTTGAAAATATGCATCTATTTCCAAAAATACATAAAAAATATTGTCTCTTCATTAGTCTTGTTAAAATTGTTAAAGAATTATGGAAGACTATGAATGTTTTACACAACAGAAAACATGTATTAAGAAATTCAAGCAGAATATTTTTACATTATTTCAGACATTAATTCTCATCTGTATCCAAGAAAACACTCCATAAAAAGTAACTGACACGAGTGAAAACAAATGATTGTTTCAAACAATATTTGTTCAGAATCAACTCAAATAATGCTTCTTCTATTATAGCTGAACTGATATTTTATTGAGCCTGAATAATTTTCAGTTAAATTCTCTTAAAAGATCGTAATTTGTTCTTTATATCTCGGCTTGTGCTTCACAGAACTCTTGAGGCTCAGAAGACAATCACTGGTACCAAAACTATAATTAGTTCATTAGTCCTAATTTTTCTGTCCCACTATCATATGAAACCAAATTATTTTTTAACAAAACACCGAGAAACATTTGGCCACTTTCATATTTGTAGTAGGACATATCATATTTGGTGCCATTATCAAAAAAACATAGATACTTAATTAGTTGTTGTGTATTTGTTATGAATGTCGAGAAAAAATTTTGAAAAAGCGAAAATGTTATCGGACGTGGCTTGCCTATACTCGTAGGAGCATTTACTTACAGGGTGGCTGGACACTTGGACTTCGAGTACAGATCATCTGTATCGAGAAAACCCCGTATTTGATTCCAGAACACCTTGTATATCATTTTAAATTTCATTCTGGAATCTCCCTTTGCAATACTACAGTATTTTGCTAAATGATTACATAGTCTAATCTTAGTAGTTTATGAGTGAATGTGATTTTTTCTAAAATAAGAACATTGTAAATATTTCAATTCAGTGTGCAGGTCATGGATAGCAGGTAAGAAAATTGTATTTTTCTTCACCTCTATCTTATTAAATACTTTTACGCTTTGTAAATTTGTTTTCTAGTATAAGCTACAAATGTACGTAAGTGTTAGATGAGAAAAAACTTATATGAACTAACTTCTTTTAAGTTGTAATATAAATAGTTGTAATATGGGCCTCATGATATTGCATTTGGTAACTTAATGATTCTTTGTCAGTAAATCAATGGACTTGTAAATATATTAGCAAATGCAGTGAGTAACAGTAAAGCTATATTTAAATCTAAGTGTACCTGCTAGGTAGATATTATATGCTTCATTAATACATTTTTTTTGTTTTATTTCGAACATCTCAAACGAAATTCATAACCACTTGAAACAAATATTTTTTGAAGAATAGTAGAAATGAAATTTATGGTGAAGTAGAAACTGATAATACATGATGAAATAAGATTCATTTCATATTAATTATGACATACATAGAAGAAACATGAACCTTTTTCACATGATGCACATAAGTTTTTCTTTTTTGACTCCAAGTTAGGATAAGTTAGGAAAGTTGGCACATTCGAAATATTCAGTTTATAGTTCTGGATGAAAAATTTGATATGAAAACCACAATGATTACATCAATGAAAGAGTATATTTACGGTATGCAGACATAATTGAAAGAAGAACTGACTTGAAGATAAAACTTCCCTTTTCTATAAAAATCAATCGTGTTTTTTTCCAAATACATTTTCTTCCTATTATGTAGTATGGCATTACTTGTAAATTTCGTCTATATGCCAAGCATGTTGGATCCAGTGCCAGTTATAACATCTACTTTAGAATTTTGTTAAGTGAGTTGATTCAAAGGTTTCTTTCGGGAAATCAATGTTGTGATCAATGAAGGATCTAATTGTTTACTTGCGTTTGACATCTGGCAATAATAAATTCATGGGAAAAAGTTTGGCTTTCTACTACTCAATCTTGATACAAAAACATGTATGAGTCTTCCAAAGAATGGAAAGAAGCAATCAATTTCAAAAGAAGTAACTCTATACAGGTATCATACGCCTCTATTAGCTATAGAAAGGTCTTGAATCTGTTTTCCTTTCAATAGCCAATATCTTTCAGTAAGGGTAATGACATTTCCTCTCATGGAGACCCTCTAAAAACAAATATGACGGAGGCGCCACGAAGTGGTCAATAGAAAAGCCATGCTGTCTTTCTCTGCAGCTGACACTGCTATGCAACTGGTCCAAACCAGAGCCCAAATGCAACGCATTAATGATCCAACAATGTTTCGACCTGCAATAGATCTCATCGGTGGTGCTAGACTGAACCACAAATGCATTGCTGGACTGTACTGTTATTAAGATGGGATCGTCAATCCTCGAATATCAAAGATAAACCCGATACGATATATAGGGCCTTCACAAAATCAAAATTGGGACATGTTAACAAAGCGTAGATAATATCATTCCTAGAATAATAATTGAATATACTCTGACAAGATTTTCTTCACAGAAATAATAGCTGAAATATAACAAACATTGCTTATTTAAAAAAGTTATTAGCAAGCATTTTTTCAATGTCAGGATAATGTGTTACATTCACAATATGCAGAAAAGCAATAAAGGTCAGTTTAATCTTCCCCTTGGTGATCGAAACACGTGTCAAGGTGTTGAAAATAACGGTTTGGTGTTGGGATAAAACTCCAGTAATATTCCAAGGTCACATTGATTATTTGAACAATCGTCAAGTGATGAAATTTTGGAGTATGGTTTAAGATATTCTGCATATAAAAGAAAATTCGAGAATCTGAAGCATTGCTGAATAATGTTCATGAAGATAAACAACTAATGGCTTTGGGAAACACCTGACATTGTTTTGTAACGATTTTTGGTGATAATTTGATATTTATTACAAATGAACGGAGCAAATTACGGAAGTAGACTGAGTACAGTGACTCAATCTTGGCAAATACCTTATTGAAATCGCCGTATTTTGAGTCGTTAAAATAGTTTCGAATGATCGTTTTTGAAAAAACGTGTTTTCCATCAGTTAGGTGAGTGATTTATCCGTATATAAAGAAGCCAAATACCGGAAACCGACCATCTTATCATAGTTGAGTTATATCGTAAGACGAGCATACCTATTAGGCTATTTAACATTTCACAAACCAATTTGGCATCTTGAGGAAATGAAGAAAACAGCAGAATAGAGCTGTCAGATGCTAGATTTAGGCTTGATAATCAATATAAAACTGTTGATGATTCCAAAATTTTGAGTTGTTTTTTGGTATTACTACAGACGTTAATTCTGGTTTGGTAAAATTTACTATACCTACTTATATAAAAATTTATTCTCATAGTACCACCACCTGGACTACAAATACTCACATTCACATTTACGTCCCAGAATCCAGTAATTTGACAAAGTTCTCACTTACAGTTCACACACTTCTTTACGGTTTGAAAATCGCGATTTTATCACAATATACACCCTACAAAAAGCGGGAAAGTTATCCCTGTGCAATTGTTTCCCCGTAGTAACAATTCCAGCTGTCGTGTTTTTGTATAAGTCTGTCTATTTTCCGAATTTCTGAAGCTAGGCGAAGAGCATCAATATTTTGACAACCATTTCATAATATAATGTTACTTCAACTTTACTGAAAAAAATTATTGACAAATTGTTTGAATGATCTCGATTTGTTTGACTTCAAACAACGCGTCTACCGTCTACTGATGAAAAATATATGCAACTGTTTTTACAATTTGTGTCTTAATTTAGTTCGTCTATTGTGTAATAGATGGCGAAATAAACAATTGTGTGATCTGTACGTAACTTTCAAATAGCCAAAATTTTTTGAAATTGGTCCATATCATGTTTCGCAATATTGTTGTTGCTGCAAGGTCTTATTTGAATTCCTTCAACATCTTAAATCGATGGAGAAGCTTGATTTCAGTTTGGAAATAGAAATGTATTTCTTTCAATGATTTGACTCTCCCTTTTCTGTTGAAATGAATACGAGAAAAACTGTACCGCATGCGGAATACATGAAATACTAGAAATAACAAAGGAAAATATCGAAATTTTATTATCAAATAATAACAGGCTCTATTAAGAAGATACGCTCTGTTTGTCATCTATGAATGAAGGACAAAATTAATGAATATTTAATTATTTTTCATCCAAGTTTAAACATACTTTCTTTTGCTTTCACTGTAACAAAGCTTCGTCGTTACAAAAAATAACCGATTTTTTTAAAGAATTGAGCTATTAATAAAAAATTAAAGCAATCTTATTTCTCTTCAAACAATGGAAGTTGGGTTACATTTTAGTAGATTGGTTATAGATATATATTGTTCTACTTTTCTTCTATAGATGGCGGAAGCGACTAACATTCATTCAGGCAACCTTAAGAAATGCAAAGTCGCTTGAATTAGGAAAAAAATAATAATAGGGAACATTTTATAAAACAGGATTTCATTAACATGCTCTTAAAAAAGCTTTGAATTGATTCACCAGAAATCAAACATTGTTTTTCCTCCGAATAACTTATTATGTCAAGATCAAGTTACATATATTCATTTGCACAGAAGAATCTCGCTTGTATGTCTCGCTTGAATTGTGTAATGCAATAAATTGATGAAATCATTTAAGACTAATTTTTTCTTTCTGAAGCATGTTTATAAAAACTTGTTTTTGAAAATGTTATGATTGTTATTGTATAATGTTGCCAATTTTAGAGAATGTTTGAGTGACGTTTTAAAATTTAGGAAATTCTGATGATGTGTGATACATCAGTGGAATTGTCGTCAAAAAAGCAAATTCATAATGGTTGTTTCTTTTTTTCGGTCCATATGAAAACGCTAAATTGGTCATGTTTCCTTGGAGACGATACGTGGGATTAAAAATCTGTAAACGCCATCTTGTACAGCTTGAGAAGTGGCAATGAGAAAATATTTTTGGTTTTTGATTTCTCCTTAAAAACGTCAGAACAAAATTAAAACGAAATTGAATATCTTAGAGTCTCATCGTAATTTTCTGACTTTTGAAACCTCATTCAATTACGCTCTGAAATGGTAAACTTGCTCCTAATCCAAACGACTTTATATCTCTGACATTTTCCAATTTTCGTATACTGTCCCTGCTCAGTTTGAACTTATTATAATGATATAATTAATTAAAAAAAGTCAGTGAATTTTTTTAAAAAGACCAAATTTTTCAAATAATGTATACATTAATTGCTTGTTTCGAATTACTATCCATCCAATTATTTTCAAATTATTTTGAATTGATCAAATTTCAATGCAGTAAGAACTAGTTGTGGGAATGGTATCAATTTATCAAAGAGAAATCTCACAGTTGAAGATTCCGTACCATCCCAAAGTGTCACTCCAAGGTTATTCAATCAATTAATTTCATGGAATATTTCAACTTTATTTAAATACATATAAAATTTCTGATGATAAAATTACAATTTTGCTATTGTTTTTCTTTTTGCATGATCCAGGGATTGTTTCAGAACCTCCAGTGCAAAATCCACAGTTTCTGGTTTGGCATTGTAACCCATTAAACCAATTCTCAGTATGTTACCTATTGCTGTCGGACCAAGACCAGCCGCTATCTCGAAGTTATACCTAAGAAACAAGTTGGGAGTTGGAATCAATTGTCATAATTGAAATTTGAGAAATTTCACTATTTCTGATACTCTTATGAAAATATATTTCACAAACAACTCTTACTTCTTCATAGCGTAGTCAATGACATCTTTTTTATCAATTCCACCTTCCAACACCAAAGATGTAACGGTTCTCAATCTGTTACGTTCATCTTTAACAAAAAATGTTAAACCCAAGTTTTCGAATCCCTTTTTCAGCCTCTCGTAACATTCCTCATGTCTTTTGATGACGTTCTCCAAACCCTCTTCTGCAAGCATAGCTAAAGCTTCTCGAAGAGCACAGAGAAGATTTGAGCAGGTTGTATGGTGGTAGCTGCAAAAAGTATGAATAAATATTGTTGTGATCATTTTTAATTTCGAAAGCTTCCAAGTTCCACATATCAAATAAAATAAGGCAATAGAACTCACGGTCTAACATTCTTAAAACAGTTCCACTGCTGCCCCAAAATAGTCATATCCCAGTAGTAGACGTTTCCAGGTGTTTTTCTTTCGAAAATTGCTTTCCTGAAAAAATGAAACGTTTGTTTTCTCGGACCCACTTATGTAATATTACCAACAATTGACAGATATTTATGATTTAATAACGACTCAGATTAGTAACTTTCAACAGTACATTCTTCTAATTATATTTATGATTTCTCAAAATAACCCTCCAAAACCATATACCGTGTGGTCCACTTATATTTGTTGGTTGTTTGAATTTCGCGCTCAAACTTCTGTCAATGTGATCTTCCAATGAGAGCCGACATAAACTTATTGATGCCGCCATGTTCGTGCAAAAACAATTGTATTGTTTTTCGTTTTTGTGCAGTGATCTAATTTTCGTTTAAATAACCACTGTGTTTCTATTATTATCAGTGTTTGTTTAACTGAATTTATTTGTGTTTGTTGTGGTGAGCAAATTTTCGTTTGAAGGACAGAACCTGCCTTGGGGCAGAACGGTATGGGGTAAAATCAGTTAGTATACCCCGACATGCTAACATTTGCCGCGCAATTATTCAAGAATGACTACTAGACGGGACTGGGATGTCGAACAAATGAACTGCGTGACCGCAGAAACTTTTGGATACCTCAAAGCCTCTCAAGTCTTCGGCGTGCCAAAAAGCACGTTACAAGATCGTGTTGATAAATATTGACAAAATAATGACCCAACAGTGTCAACACAAAATGGATTAAGCCGATTCAAGATAATTTTTCAGCTGATCAAAAAGCTACAATAGTTCATCGACTAAGCTTATCAACTCGCATCATAATCTCAATATGAATCGGAAAGAAGCTGGAGAGGATTGGTTATCCTGTTTTATGAAGAGACACCCTGAACTGTCACTGCGTGCTGCTGAGCCAACCTCTATTGCAAGAGCCATGGGTTTTGATAGAGTTAGTGTGGGTAAGTTTTTTGATTCGGTTGAAGATCTGATGGGTCAACATAAACTTCCACCAACTCATATTTTTATTGTTGACAAAACAACCGTGCTCAAGAAACAGCAGAATTATCGCTTTGATAGGGAAGAAGCAAGTTGGTTTAGCAAGTTCTGCTGAGAGGGGTCAACTGACTACTGCTGTGCTTTGCATTATCTTTCTCTGGATATTACTTGCCATCGCTGCTAATATTTCCTGAATTGCTGAATTGCTTGATGGCACCCCACGGGGCACCATACAAAGTCAAATATTTGTTCAATGGTTAGATCATCTGATCTCATCTGTAAAGCCTACAAAAGAAAACATTGTGTTGCTCTTGCTGGACGGACATTCCACCCACGCAAAAAAAAACCTTCTATTGATTATGAAAGCCCAAGACAATGGAGTTATTATGTTGAGCTTTCCCCCACACTGCACCCATAGGCTCTAACCATTGGACGTCAGTTTGATGGGCCCACCGAGTACCTATTACAGTACCTGGAAGAATTTTCACGCAATTTCAGCTCTCTAGACTCTTTGGTGGAGCTTACGCCAGGGCGGCTTAAATGCAAAATGCCCACTCCGGTTTTTCCAAGACCGGCATATACCCTACGAATCAAAATGTGTTTGGTGATGCAGATTTTGCAGCTGCTGAAACAACGGAGATGGTTTTACTAGAAGAAAATGCCACTTAATCTACAAATACAAACACCATGCCTTCACATCATCTTTAGAGTCATCTATTTCGCAAAAACCCCCAGTTGGAGAAATTTCACCTTTTCCTGTCAATTCGTTATCCGCCACTTATTCTTCATTCACACCGGTGGAGTTGCAAACAGAGTCTACAAGCAATATGCAGTGTATTATTTCCTCGACACCGGGTAACAGCCGACCAGTCACACTATCTTGTACCACCGTCGGATATAATGCCTATGCCTCTAGTAGAAAACAGTACTAAACGTGTCACCCGGGGCAGAGGTGAAACTTTAATAACTACATCATTTCTATATACAGATGAGCTTCTAAGTAACTCGCAGTCGAAAATTAAAATATCAAAGCTGAATCTGTCAGACCAAGAAAAAAAATAAAGATGAGGTAAAAAGTAAAACTGGAGATAGTAAAGGTCTTTGCTTGTACTAACTTGAGAAATATGGTCAAAGTCGAATAGATGAGGGTCGGGTACAGTGTACTTCCTGTAAAGGTTGGGCCCATGAAGGTTGTACAGGTCATGATTCCGATGATCTTGACGATTTTTGTGCACCAAATGTATATTGTGAATGTTGGGGCCAAATCGTATATACTGTACAAAAATAATTGCACGAGATTTTAAATTTTTTCATAAATTATTTCAGAAATCACATGCTATCCAAAATAAAGGTCTCGCATGTTATATTCACTCATTTTTCAATTACCATTCAAACATGGCGTTATTTTCAAAGTAGGCGTATAAGTCGATATTTCCAGAATTGCGCATGGTTTAATGATTGATAAACTTCAAGCTACCGTCATTGAAGTCTTTTCTGACCTATAATTATCCATAAACACACGAGCACCAATGTCGATCTCTCTCTCTCTCTCTCTCAGAAGTCCAAGGAGAGAGAGAGAGCGAGTACGACTCCAGGTGCAGAACTAATAACGGATGGCGGAAATTAACCTGTCATCTGTTCATAATTGGTTATTGAGATTTTGTCAAGGAATACTGTGCTTTTTTGTGATTTGATTTTCGTGTGTTATGTGTGTTGCTATAAAATGGTCAACTATTTCAAAATTGTTGCGAAAATGAAAAGAAGGGATGTAACCAGCTTTCGACTGTATTTTTTGTAATATTGTTCCATTTCTACCGATTTTACAAACTATTCTATAATAATTGGCCATGGGTCTGTAAGCTTTCTTTATTGACGTTTTACCTCTGTTTAACATTTTATAATTACTACCAGATATATACCGATAAAATATCAGGTAACCTGTAACTTTCTGATCAACTCTTGAAAATGGTCGCAAATTCTTATTAGGAATGACGCTACTGTTAGTGATTTCACTTTGGGTAATTCACACTGCCTTGTGGACATTTTGTAAGATACATAAGTTCATAGAATTTGAAGAAAAGTCATTTGTGATAATCGTGTTAATTTTTACCAATGTTTCCATTTATGAGTTAGTTGATACTTTGAGTTTTAACATTCAAGGCAAATACTACCAATTTATTTCTTTTTGAAGGCTTTTTTCCTCCGCATTTGGACCAATAAGGTAAGTACAAAAATACTCACTGTGCCCTAGAACTAAAGGAAATGAGAGTTAATCCGGGAGGAACTCCCAATACTTTCTGTGCCCCTGCATAGGCTACATCCACTTTCCATTTATCCATAAGAAATGGTACTCCTCCCACAGATGCAACTACATCCACGGCTAGAAGACAATTGTATCTGAAAAATATCACTTTTACTATAAAGTAAGGAAGGTTAGAAAGAGGAAAAGATTCCATGAGTTCATGCAGCCAGGTTGGAGACTTGCAAAATTATGATGCTAAACAAAAAATGTGTGGTCGAATTTATTGTTCCATACTAGTTAGGGAGTGAAAGTTACGGTTGAGCTCAAACCATAACAATTTAATAGAAGTTATTGAAGCAGTTTGTTTCTACAACTGGTTTTGGAAACTCAATTTCCTTGCCACAACTTCGCAGGAGATTACAAAAATGACTAAAATATGCGGAAGAGGATTGTAATAAGGCTTCCTTCTATATTGGTTTCAATCGGTTGGCAACTCAATTTGACATCTGTTCAAGGTTAGGTTAGGTTAGGTTAGGTTCAAGTAGGAATACACGTTTTCTCATTATGCATTGTTTGGAACCTTTGGTGTTTTTTCCGAACACCAAACCGTTATTTTCAACACCTCGACACGTGTTTCAATCACCAAGTGATCATATTTAAAAGGAAGATTAAACTGGTCAATAACGTGTCGAGGTGTTAAAAATAACAGTTTGGTGTTGGGATAAAGTAGTATTCGGGTGTATAAAGAAAAGAAATGAATATGTATGTATGAGGTGAACTGACGTTTCGAGAAGAAACGCATAGAGTCTTGCTAACATTCGCCCAGGTCGCTTGAAGGTCACATGATACGGAATACAAAAAACTAACCAGTTATGCAATTCTTTATAGGTGGAATTATTTAAATTCTGAAATAAGGAAACTAGGATAGAGTATATAAATAGATCAGGACAAAACTGATCAACAGATCTATCTCCTGAAGTTCTGTTGCAACCAGGGTATAACGTTCATTTTACCAGAAGTAAGAGAAATTCAATAAAATTAATAATCAAAGAAATCATTGTAAATTAACAATGATTTTTTTGTTTGTATTCTAATATGATGATAATCTGAAATGAAGAGTCACACTAAAATTCCAAATTTAATCGGTTAGTAGATCAAAAGCATCATTACATTCATTTATCGATTGCTAGACAACGCGTTTTCCAAAATACCAGATTCAACTATTCTGTCCTTAACAAAAAAAACTCTGGCACCATCAATTGGTCGAACGAAAACTGAAACAACGAATGTTAAACATAAACGAAGTTTTTCAAAAATATTTGAAATCTACCACCAACTGAGAAATAGCTTTGTACGTCACTTTACAACTTTTCTGTCGATCCAACAGATGCTATTTCAGTAAGGAACTTGTTGTGTGAGGTGAAGGACCTTCAAGAATATAAGAATCAGCAAAAACTGAAACAACTCAAAAACAAAGACAAGCGATAGGAGATGACAGTGATATTAAATGTTCAGTTGAAAATATTAGGGGTTCCATTGATAACGTACATTATTCCATTTTTATATCGCAAGAGAGTTATGGCCAGTTGTTATTGGCCTAATCTTCGGAAATATCTGAACTTCACACTGAAAATGATTAGAACAACCAGTGTCTTTAGAAATACATTGGTGTAATGTACTAATGGATCCAAGATAAATGACAGGGTTTTCGTCCAAGACACACCACGTCAGAAATGTAATCAACTCCACTTTCTTCAAAATAGAAATGTGTTTAGGAAGAAAATTTGCAGACCAAGAATGTGTATATCATTAGATGGCAAACTATTCTGGACCTGGTTCTGCAAAAGTGATTTCGATGTGTCACCACGAAAAAGTATTTCTAAATTGAAAGGGGAATGTGGTGAACTTCCAAAAGAAGGAACGAAGCAATTTCATTCAAACTGAACTCCTTACAAAAAAGCATAGATGTTACTTTCAGATACAAACTGGAAGAAGAATCCCTTTCGAAACAACTACTTTCAAACAAAGATAGAGAAGTAGAAAGCCGAAATCTTTCTTTCCCCAAAATGAATCTCTCTTTCACAAGCTACAACTTTTTTGTGAGCTCATATTCTGCAGAATAGTTTGTTCTGACTTCCAATAATTGATGTAATTTACTAGAACAACTTCTCAGTACTTACTTCTGACAGATTTCTCCAAACCCCTCAATTGGCTGCCAAATTCCTGTGGAACTTTCGCCTTGAACAACGAACAGTAATTTTGGTTTTAGTTTCAGAATATAATTTTCTACTTCTTGCAAACCGAAGACGTCTCCAAGATTCTTTTCGATTTTTGTAACGATACCACCTGAAATGTCAAAAATGCTTTATGAAGCTTAGTTTTTTGAAAAACGTTTGGAAAGTTCAAGTCTATTCTAGCCAATTGGTCGATTGGATGTAACTGGTTTCTTTAGCCCAAAAAGTCCAAGTATTCCCAACTGTTTTATCAAAGAGGTCCAATGTTTTTTTCCGAATTTTTATATACCATTCAATTCGCAACTAATTTTAGACAAACAAATTACTACCCATCTCAGATATTCTTTTGAATACAATTTTATGCAAATTATTCAACGATTGGGGTTTTCATTACGGTTACTGAAAACTTGAGTTGACATTTTCCGCATCATGGTCAGCGATGATTTTATATCTTAAGTGATAATGAAGTATAATTTTGCAAGAGCAAGAATATTATGAAACCCACCTCAACTACAGTTTCTCCAGAGAAATATCGAGAATAAAGTCTATTGACCATTGAAAACGCACCTACTTTGAAAATAAACTTCACAATATTTAACGCCTTGTCGGCAACTGTGATTCTGGACATGAAAATGTGAATTTTGTTTTATTATATTTGAACATGTTCAAAATTCAAGTTGACTGAATTCGACCACAATTTTTGTAAATACAAACCAACCACATCGTTTCGCCATATCTGCTGCTCTGGATCCCCATAAACCATTACTGCATATCAATACTCTATCGCCTGGTTCTATCAAGTTACTCATTGTTGCTTCCATTCCACTATGTCCAGATGCACTAATTGCTAATGAGAGCTCATTTTTTGTTTGGAATAGGTATTTTATACCTTCTTTTATTTCGTCCATAATCTGGAATATTAAAAAAAAGTTACATTAGTAAGTATCGACTATTTACCCCAAGACGGCTTTGAGCAAAGAAAATTCACTGGTATCGTTTACTAGGACCATCATCGCAGATAATCCTGGCAGGGCCGTAGCGAAAAGAAAAACCAGGGGGGGAATCCTAATTTTCCCGACCCCACCAGCAAAATTTCCCAACTTTTGAAAAAATGAAAGCCGAGGGATCAGTTACTACTATAATATATTAATTTTCTTACTTAGCTATCCAAAGATTGGCTGAATGCTTATGCCCGTTAGGGAATGCACAAACAAAAATAAATTTTGGTAATTATAAAAATAATAATGGGAATTATTCTACTTTGGACCAAGGTCCTTGGTCTTCCACCATATCCACCATGTATAGGAATATTCAATACAAATTAAAGGAAACAACACTTAAATAATATTGTGCTTATTGTTTTCTACTATTATTTTTTTATCTTCACGGCCCGAAATTTCCCTAACTTTTCCAAGTCGAATAAACAGCGAAAAGTTGGGAATTTTGTAAAATTGTCACTTCAAAATTTGTGGACTGTTCAACTTTTCTCTTACTTGGGAGAAATCAAACTTTTTTGAAGTTTTCAAACAACTCAGAATTTCCAAGTTATGCATGTTGGGAAATCGCAACTTTGTCCTGGTTCTTTCCCTTTCCTTATTTCCTCTCCCTTGCTTTTCTCTCATTTTTATTTTTTTAGTTTTTATTCATTTTTTTACTATTATTTTTTTCTATCTTCACTTCCCAACTTTTTCTCAACTTTTTCCCAAGTCGAAAAAGCAGGGGGGTAGGCTCCCCCCATCCCCCCATGGCGATGGCCTTGAATCCTGGCCTTGGTCTACTCTAGAGAAAGTATCATTACTCGGTATCAGAAAAGCATTTTATTCTAGGCAAAGAAAATAATAAATTTTGGATCATAAGCATTCAAAGTTCGACTTGAAGTCATTGGAGACATGCTCATGGTAACATATGAAACCAGCTATCATGAAAGACGACCCTTGTGGAATGAAGTTCTCTCGAAAGGACTGCATCAGATTGACGAGAAAATTGAATGAGAAATATCAGCCCTATCTAGTAACATTTGAGTGTTAGTGAGTTTTGAGAGATACATTTACCTGGTTCCAGACAATTGTGGACGAAGGATCATAAAGAGCTCAACTATACAGATCCATAAGGGGTCTAGTAGAAAGAAATTTCAGAATCCAAGGAATTACAGGGCAAAAGTTCCTTAGAACCTCAGCTTTTTTCTATGTCACGAAAACTGTAATATGCCCTGAAATATTTTGTGTAGAACATGTGGTTTGATAAGGAAATGATCCACTGGTCATATCATGAGGACATCAAAACAATATTTCTATGTTTCAATGGCAAAAAATGAAAACATCAATGCAAATTAAGTTGCAGAAAGTGTAACAATTCGCGTGTTTGAGAATCCTAGGCGATAAAAGCTTCTTCATCATCGAAAAAAATGTGGGATACTACCAACAACGAAAAGGAAGAAAATAATTACAATAAAAACTCCAGAGGCAATGGTAAATCTTTCTCCATTAACGTGTATGTGATGAAAGGAGTAGCAACAAAACAAAGGAGTTGTACGCATTGTTATGGTATCCTGGTGGGTCCATCAAAGATAAAGAGGTCAGCCAAGATTCAACTCCTTGCAAGCATCCTCATCATTTCAACTATCGTAGTGAAAAGATATACACTTCCTTAGCTTGCTGAACATCACTAAAAACCCTCAATTCTTTAACTAGTATAATGAAGTTGCTATCTTCGTAATGAAGAGAGACACAATTCCTTTTTTTGATTCAAAAGCTTTCTTCCCTATATATTATAAAAGTCTCACGTGAGTCTGCCTGTCAACCTGAATGTGGTAAACTCAAAAACCTAATGGTACTTTGCAAACTATGGTTTTAACTAAAGTACCATTTATGTGAATTGATTGAAATGATGACGTTATCAATGAGTATTTGGAGCGACGATGCTATCCGGGGAAGTTTTTCATCGAAAACGCTGTCTCATTCCTTTGAGATATAACAAACCAAAAAAATCTTCGGTAGCATATCTCTATCTATTAATCTATATTTGAATATTAAAAAAAATCTAAAATATTTTAGAAAATTGTCAAGAATGCAGTTTTATTTGCAAAATTATTTAGACAGATATGATATTTATCCTCATCAAATTAATACAGCATTTCATTTACCTACATTATACTTGTTCTTTAGACCACCAAAATAAATTCAATGAAGAAAGGTTGCAGTTGCGTTGTTTTTTGCTTGAAATAGTGAATCACTCTGAAGGTTAAGGCCATATTTTTGTTTTGTGTACAATACTGAAATCGATAGTAGTGGGTAAATTTTATCAAAACTTATTATCAGTTACAAGCTGATATGAACTATGATAGAAAAATTCAGGTATATATGCATAATATATAGACTTCTATATATGGTTAGTTACAAAGATGAATTCTTACTTCAAATTTGACAACTCCCATGAGTCGAGCCATTTAGGTTGATATCTAATGAGATAGTTTCAGTTAAACTTTGAAGAAGTTAGTTATGTTATTTCTGAAATGAAAAGTGATAATCTCAATTCGATAAAACCATAAAATTAGTGCATATCCATCTTTACGAAATCAAATATATATGTTGTACCTGGAAAGTTTCTTGATGCATATGTCCTAAAACACTATAACTCATTGCCTGCAAAACTCTTGGAGGGGCATTTGAAGGCCCCGGTCCCATAAGTGTCTTCGAAGGCACAACAAGCGGCTTCTTGAGAACTTCTGGAGGTGGTATTTCCATGTCAATTGATTTTCTTGAATTCACAGTTTTCTTAGTATATCGGATAACTGCTTCTACCCGAATCTTCAAGAAATGAAATTCTACATACAGTGTTGTGGTTTAATCTATGGTCGAGTCGTGTTGTTATGACCTCTGCGATAAGCAGTGATTATGTTTATCTCTTTAAATGCCAATTTATATTGTACGTTGGTGTTTTGAAAACTTTTTATGTTACCTATTTTGTTGTATCTGGGCTGAAAATTAGGTTATACAGAACCTCAAGACGTACATACATCGTTTTGGAATAGTTCATATTGTAAAGAGTAAAAAACACGTAATAAGAAGTTTACTGCAATCCAAACTGGAAGTGGTATTTTTTAAGAGAGGTTAGTTTTTGGAAAAAAAAAACTATTTCTTTCAAGTACGTCCGATTTTTTCCTTACACCATCACCTACAGTTTTCTTTATAGTATTAGAAATAACGAAAACTATACTTTGTCCATACAAGCAACAGAGTGCTTCAAAACATTATCATGCGTACACGTAATCTCCCAGACAAGGCTGCTTGTACAGAGCGATTATTTTTAATAAAATACGGCTGGGCATAGGAAACCTTTTTAGGTGGAGTGTATGGACACAAATTAGCAGTTTCTTCAGCCACATCAGTACTTGCCATTTTAAACATTTCAAACTTTAAAATACCGTAACATCACAGGCTTTGAAACGTAACTGACCATCATCCGTCAGCCGATTGCAGTTAAACCTGATTGGCCAGGGTAAGAAGGCTTGTTTATTTTACCTAATAGATTCAAATGTGCGTGGTGATCACGCATCATTGTTTGTGTTATTTTATTAGTTTGATGGACGGAGTTTAGTTGAAGACCGTAATGAATCTGATGAAAAACAGGAAATTATAATATACTCTTCATCTTCCTTTATCTAGCTATATAAACTACTAAAATATAATGCAATAATATTTATCTCGAGATATAATGGCGTCGTAATTACTTCTGGAAATTGAAAACGAAATACTGGGGCCTAGCTGCCTGCCGAAATATAAAATTAGCAGAAGGACCGTAAAAATTTAGGTCTCTCTTACCTATCCCAATGGCGTCCGTAATTACTTCTGGAAATTGAAAACGAAATACTGGGGCCTAGCTGCCTGCCGAAATATAAAATTAGCAGAAGGACCGTAAAAATTTAGGTCTCTCTTACCTATCCCAATCTCGAACATCTTGCATCAAGACCACCTGTTGATTTCTTTCTCGGAAAGCATCGATTTGTCGGATGCAGTTTTTATTGCATTGTTGTCACATTTCACGTTCAGTTAGGATTATTCAACAGAAACTGGTATCTTTATACACACCCTTACACTTTTTGAAAAAAAAAAGATAAAATCAGTATTTTTCGTTGGTACTGTAAAAAAATAGTTCATTAATCAGAAAGTTACACCCAAATTTTTCTATTTTGAAGAAGAATAAAAGTTTCGAGAATCATTGTGAGGTCACAACTAATGAGATTTACCCTCACTTTCAAAATACGTACCAAAATGTATATGATTTTTGCAGAGTAGAAATAAGTACACGAATGAATATACAACATAATTATTCAATTAGTACTGCTCAATCAAATATTTCTTCAACAAAATTCCAAATATCAAGTCTCTGTTTCGTTACATGAAACGCTTCTTAATTTCGGAATAACCATCAAATCCAAATGTTCCCAAGTTCATATCAAATGTTAGTGACGTCACGACCATCCTTTTTACTATAACAAAATACTACCGTCAAAAAATTGTAAAAACTATAAAACCTTGTATAATATACATGTAGTTTTCACCTATGCATTTATCTCAATATCAGTGTAAAGCTCAAATTGTAATAATCCACATGAATTTTTTTCAGTTTTCATACATTCATACATACTCATATATTTTTGTTCAAGCCAATTTTACCCATAACATGATTTAACCTACTTAGTATAAATTGATAGATGTAGCCGTTACTATGTGGTAGGAAATCACCATGAACAATGAGAATTGAAACTTTGTATGTTTTTCACCACTTTTATTTGTAACTATCAATACTACAGTTTCGTCCTATAAGAACATTTCCAAACTTATATATTAAACTGAAAATGATTGATTACATTAGCCCTTACATAACACCACTGTAGGTAATAATAGAGGTACTTAGCTTAATTGAGTACCTACATTTTATTTACTTGTGACAACGTGGATACGCTAATTTAAAACCAGTGAGTAAACTAGATTGATTTTATCATTTAACAGGTTGCGCCCGTAATGTTTATGCTTATGAATTTCCAAGGATTCCAAATAATTGAGTTTGCAACCCTTCCTTGCATAGTGTAAAAGTTCCGTATCGTTTAGATTCGGTAACTTTTGGTTGCATCCCAAGGAATGGTTTGAAAACGTCGAATCATTTTTTCCTAGTCTGAAGAATCTTTCATGTTCAGCATACCGTTTTGAGAAATTTCGACCACATTGTCCCACATAAACACTATTACACTCCGGCTTTGGACGGTGCGATGATAAAACAAAATGCAAATCTTTACTGGTAGCTGTTAAATTATTATTTAAGCAGTGAAGGCGCTCTTCAATTAATGGTTTCTGTTCAATAATCAAACGTATTCGCTTTGAAGTATGAGAATTATGAACAATGAAATATGGTGGTCAATTTGAAAAAGAAGCCAAAATTACATGAATCAAATAGGAATAAGGTGTTGGAAGAAATAGTCGTTTTAGGAGCTGTTGAAAAGCATCCCAAAATATCAACGCGAGATTTGAATATATAAACAGGCCTACCAAGAACTAACGTTGGGAGGATTTTGAAAAAACACAAATTCAAGCCATACAGGACCAGAAGAGTTCATCAACTCAGGCCAGGAGATTTTGAACACCTCATGGCTTTTGCCAGTGGTTCCTGGAAAGTTGTAACCAAATGCGTGATTTTTCGTTGAATTGTATTTGAACAGACAGAGATTATGTGAGCAGTGCTGGCATTTTCAACCGCTACAATCGTTTACTTGGGCCCAACAAAATTCTCATTCTATTGTGGAACAGAGAAGTCAAGAAATATTTGGATTAAGTAGATGTTTTCAGGAGTAGAATTATCAGCCTGTTCATTTATAATGGTACTCAGAGCTATTTAAAAAATCTAAAGCAACATATTGAACCCCTTGTTGATGAATTGCCACTAATGGAGCTTAGAAAAATGCTTCTCTCACAACACTGCAATTGCCACCAATTGTTTGGCTGCAAATTTTGGTAATAATAGAATAGCCAACTAAGGACCAAACCGTTGGCAGGCCAGGTCACCGGATCTAACGCCTATGGACTTTTACCTCTGGAGAAGGTTGAAAGATCTTATTTTCAAATTGCCGACCAATTCTAGATACGAATTGTAAGCGGTAGTGATGCAAAGTTCTGCATCACTCACTTCTATTGAACTAATTATTTCGGCAAAAAACTTTCAGAAAAGGTTTCGCCTGTGTGCCTGTTAGACATTTCGAACACCTTCTCTGAAAAAATATATTTCACTGTTTTTCTTTCTCATTATTATTGTTATTATTATTATTGCTGAAGTTCATTTATTAGTAGTTAGTATACTATAAATTGTTATCGGTTTTATTGAAACTATGTACTTTAATTACTGTTGTCAAAAGATTTCTCAACATTTGAAAGCTACTACGGATCAATTTCTTTCTGTTTTATCGCCGCGTCTTTTAAAGCATATTTGATCAAAGTGTGCGTTTCAAAGTCTACATGAAAAATCCTAAAAGCTCTGTATTTCAAAGATGACTCCAACAAAACATCAAGTATGCTACATTTTTGGAAAAGTAATTTTGAACTCTATGGTAATATGCAGGAATATATAGGGTGTCTCATTAAAAAATATTTCCATCAATAACTATTGATGTTTCATTTGAAAAAATAAGTTTTTTGCACCATTGAATTCTACGAAAAAGTGCTTTGGAAATATCTTGATAGAAACAAAAAATTTTTTACAGGAAAAAAGTTACAGCAACTTTTCGAAAATGCACATTTTCGAAAAACATGCTGTACTTCAGAAAAGATTAAAGATATCGTTATGCGGTTTTCAGCATTGAGCTTGTCATAAAATTTGCCTCTCAGACACAGCCATCAGTTTTCATGTATCTAGTTTGAAAACAGGAGTTTCGTTTTAAAAGTGTCCAATTTGGCCCACTTTGTTGCACTTTATTTCATTTTTATGCCAAATTTAACACAACGTCTTTGATCCATTTGTTTTAACAAACGAACATCGTCGAGCTCCTTAATACACGTCTGACCTTAGCGGTTGTTACAAATAAAGAAAAAATGAATACAGTTATAAATCATGTCATACTGTTGTAGATCATGCCCGAAAGAAAGTAACGCCGGCCGTCACTGGTAACCATAAACCAAACGTGACGTAGCTAGGAGCGCGGGAATGCCCAATGTTCCCTGCCTCTCGAGAAGCAGCAAGAAGTTCGGCGAAAATTCTGGCTACGATCGTATCGAGTGAAAGATACAGTACGATATACGAAGTGATCTAGAAAGGCAATAGACATAAAAATAATAGTTGAATCTTCAGTTGAAGTGTTTGTTGTATTTAAAGTGAAATAAAGTTAAGTTTGATTGTTCATTATAGTCAATTATTAATGAACCCACGCAAAAAAACGTAACATTTGGTGTCTGAAGTGGGATAGTGGTGTAAGCGCTGTGACCTGTGCTCTTCGAGAAACGGTCCGAAGACAAGGCAAAGAGAAAAGTTGAAACAGTGCCTCAATGGGTGCCCTTTCGAGAGAATCGCAGTATACATTTTGTGCCACTCCCTATGACCACATCCGGTAACAAGTACTTTATTATTGTGATGGACTACTTTTGCAAATGTCGTGGAGTGGTAGCCTTACCCAACCAAGAGGCTAAAACGGTGGCAGAAGCCCTGTTGCAGAACGTAATTGGCAGACACGGAGTATCCCAAAAAGTACACTTGGATCAGGGCCGCAACTTCGAATCGGATTTATGTAAGGAAACAATGACTCTGTTGGGAATAAAGAAGAAAAGAACATTTGCTTATCACCAACAATCCGATGGAATGGTCGAGAGGCA